TAATAGTTATTGAAATATTTTATTCTAAAATTGAAAAAATATTTATTTAAAAAAAAATATCTCTTTTCAATTAACTTCATCTTATATAACTAAATTTCTCTAAAATCAAAAATAATAAAACTAGCAAGAAGATATAGTAAGAAAATTTAAATGTAAATAGAATTTAATTAGTCTATTCAGTCTAAATATGATTGGTTTTAAATTGGTTCTGAACTTGGTCTAATTTAATTTTTTAAAAGACCACCAAGTCTTTGGACCAAGACGAACTGGACGAACTGATTAACAGAATCCAAACATTCAAGTCGAATTAGGGTTCGGGTTGACCCGACCCGTTCGGAACATTAGTCGCGACTACGTATCAATTTTTTTTTTTTTTAATAGAGTTGCATTGATTGATATCCGCATTTCGCATCATGAATCTTAAGCAAAATTGTTATAAGGATTAATTCAATTGATCGTAATGCTTTATCGTTATGCACTCGATCACTATTCAATCACATTGAAGGAATTGCTTGAGAACACCCCAAGTTAAAAATAAATTAAAATAAATTAAAAAATCTATAATAAATAATACGTAACGGTACGTATACGTATTTAAATTTTTTTTTATAAATAAAAGAATAGATATCGATATAGTAATGATGAGTTAGATTAACTAAATCAGATAGATAAACATTTAAATAAAACTTTACATATACAAGTTTACAACCTGTTATGTATGAAACGAAAAATCCTTGACATATGAGATTTTAACATAACGTAGTATAAAAAAAAAAAAAAAAAAAATCAAAATCAAAAAAAAAATGAATTAGTTTACAATAAGTCTAATTAAAGTTTTTACATGTTTACGTAGCAACTTGATTATAAATTAAACTACGTAGAAAATTTTTATTAATAAAAAAAAAAAAGTTGAAAGTACTTGATAAGGATAGTTATTAAAATATGGAATTGTTATTGAGAGGGCTGTATTCGTTTGATCAGGCGGAATTGCCATTGAGAGAGGGCTGTACGTACCAATATTTGTATTCGTTTGATCACACATATGGAATTCTAATCAGATAGTTCGATTATTCCATAAAACAAAATGCAGCAGAATATATAAAGAATATATAAGGAATATATAAGGAATCTAATCTTTTTTGATGAGAATTTTTTAAAAAAATTTTTTTTTTCCTAACGAATTAAAGAATAAATAAAATAAAAAAGAAAAAATGGCGACTCAAGATTATGACGTAGTTAGAAATGATATTAAAGCAATTCTCCCACAGAAAGGTTGGGATGATGGGTCTATTGGACCAATTCTTGTACGGTTAGCATGGCATACATCAGGAACATACGATAAAACGACAAAAACCGGTGGTTCAGATGGTGCTACCATGAGATATTCAATTGAAGCCAACGATCCAGCAAATGCAGGTTTAGAGCATGCAAGAGCATTTCTGGAACCGATAAAAGAAAAGCATAGTTGGATTTCTTGTAAGTTTATAACATTAATCAAATAAATAATAATCGAATAATAGTAATATTCGAATTATTATTAATCGAATAATCATAATAATGATGATAAATAAGATGGCGATCTTTGGACACTTGCAGGAGTAGTTTCCATTGAAGCTATGGGAGGACCTACCATCCCATGGAAACATGGACGCAAGGATAAGCCTGAATCAGCGTCACCACCAAACGGACGTCTTCCCGATGCAGAAAAAGGAGCAAGCCATATCCGAGAAGTATTTTATCGTATGGGATTCAATGATCGGTAAATTTAAAAGAATAATTTTAAAAAATATAATTTAAATCAATAGAAAATTTAACATTTACACATTACGAAAATTAATATTTAGTGAAATCGTTGCGTTGATTGGTGCACATTGCCTTGGCCGTTGTCACAGTAAATATAAAGCATAATTTAACGTTGAGTAATCAAAAAAGAAATTTATAATTAATTATGTATTTAATTATGTACATAGGTGATCGTTCTGGATACGAACGTGGATGGACGTTCACAGAAACACGATTTAATAACCAATTGTACGTGTCCAAAGCACATCGAACATTATACAACATAAAAATTTTTAATTAATACATTATAATAACTTTTATATATATTTTTTTTGAATAGTTATGTTATGTTAACAAGACTAGATTGGCAAGAGGAAAAATTACCAAATGGATTAATCCAATATGGTAATAAGAAACTGATGATGCTTCCTTCCGATATGGCATTTCTTCATGATCCACAATTTAGTGAAATTGTTAAAATTTATGCTAATAATAAAGAAACATTCTTTGAAGATTTTGCAGCGGCTTTCGGAAAGTTATTAGAGCTCGGAGTTAATCGTGAGGAAGATGAAGCAAAGTTATAAATATATATATATCACATGTTATATTTTTCACGAGCAAATTTTAGTCAATTCATTTTGTCTTTAGAATTTTCACATGCTACAAAGTTTTCAAGGTAAATTAGCATTACGAAGAGAAGTAAAAAGATTATTATATTTATTATATTCATTATCCATAACTGTTTTTTAACATTATTATATTAGTCATATAACACGTGTGAATTGTGGTTTTAATTATTATCATAGTGATTTCTTATTGTTTTGATTATTATGATATCAATAATAAATTGAAGTGAAAATACTGTATAACTATACTTGCAAATTATACTTTTCGAATTATACTCACCAATTATACTTTTCGAATTATACTCACCAATTATACTTTGCGAATTTATACTTACAAATTATACTAGCAAAATTATGCAAATAATACTTCAAATTATACTTCATCAAATTTATATTTTAAAGCTATATATCAAAGTTGTACTTCAAAGTTATACGACAAGTTATACGACAAGTTATACTCATGAAATAGTAGCTTTTACTTTACGAATTTTCTTTTTTGCTTTTGTTCGTTCACCTTTTTTCTTTTCCTTCTTTTTCATGGAATCCATGTGAACTTTAAGGATATTGCTATATGCAGTATAAAATTTATCCGAATCAGAAGGATTAACCTTATTTATAAAATAATAAAATAATAAAGGATAGTTTATTTATTAAAAAAAATTTTTGTATATTGTTAACTTTAAAAAAAAAATAAAAATAACTTTAAAAAGTTTAATTTTACCACCGTTTTAATCTTGTTCTTCCCACAAGTGGCTCGAATCACTAATGGATATTCTTTATCATCAACCTTTTTTTCCAATATTTTATTTTTTAGCTCCTTTGCAGATTCGGCGTTACGTGAACCCTTTGGTTGCCATGTTTCTATTGTAATTTAAATTTATAATGTAATGTAATTTAAATTTATAATGTAATTTTAAATAATTATTATATAAAAATTTTTTAATTTAAAAATAATTATATTTACGTCTTTTCATGGTTAAGTGAATTTTTTTTGTAGTTGGCTTTACATTTTCAAAAAGTCGAGTAAGCTGAGTAAGGAACTTTATTGAATATTCATGAGAACGAACATGAGAGAACAGAATACGAGAACAAATATGTTAATAATCAATAATTTTTATTAATTAAATTTATTATGATAAGTTATTATTACATATCAAGTTTTTGTTTTTTTTTTTTTTTTTCATACCGCATCGTTATCTGAAATCATTTTCAAAAAGTTTAAAAAAAGAAGTGGTTTATCGACCCAAATTCATCTTTCAATGTGTATATGAAAATCCAATCACATTAAATCATAGCAATTGTAACATGAATCACGAGGATCAGAATAATCCTTTTATATATAAGAAATTGTGTTCAGATTAGGATTGAGTTTCGGCTTTAACCGTTGAATTACGTCACTTTCAATATAAAGTCTATCAATAGTAACTAACGATAAAGGTAAATGTGCTCCCCCTGTAGAATTAAACTGGTAGAATAATAGGTTATACAAGAATATTATATTGTTTAACTACTATTAATAATGTTATACTGGGGTATTCTAGACACGATTTACCCTCATACGTACAGTACGTTAAAAATTATTAATAATAATCTTTACGATAAGAAATATATTTATGCCGATATCGATAAAGTTGATAAAATTGATCTCTTGTATTACTGGTCTCATGACCTTTAATAATATCCTTCTTTCTGTGATATTTTTATTCGGGTTTTTTAGATTTTCCATTCTTGTCATAGCGTTGATCTACTTTTTTTAAGTACCCGTACCATTAAAAAGATATCGATATTGTAAAAATAAAAGAATGTTGAAGAGATTAAATAAATATTATAATATAATATACAGTAATATAATCGAATGCAAAATTATCGATATGTTAAATTTTTTTTTACTCCGTCGATTATCATTTGAACATCCGTTATTTTAAATTTACCTGATTTTACTTTGATATTAAAAGATAGTTGCATTTAAAGTGCGTATTTGGCCCATTATTAGTATATCAGAATGTCAAACGTTGCATAATTATCATGAAAAGCTGCTTCGATTGCAGCTTATAAAAACCCGGTTTGATTGACTTTCTGTGTGTATTACCAAGTCGTGTTATTTGTCTTTGGGTTTTTTTTTTTTTTTATTATTATTATTATTAGTCGTGTGCTTCCAAAATAATCATTAATACAGGTTGGTTTATAGTATTCCCCTCGTGTAATCGTGCTCCCTTTTCTAACGCATAGAATAACTCTCGCATTAGGTGTAAAAAAAATTTTTTTTTTATAGTTTTCTAGTTTTTTTTTTTTTTATTATTATATTTGTCTATAGTTGTTTATTATAGTTTTATAGTTTCATCAAAAATCAAAAATCTAGAGTGAAAAAATTTTTATATATTAAATAAAATCGTTTTTAGACGATTCTTTCATTTCTTTACTGTACAGAATCTTTCTCTTTTCACATAGTCATTTTTATATAGTCATTATTAGAAATTTTTTAAGATCTCTTCGTTCTTAACTTTAATTAAATAATGTCTGCCGGTGCGTCTGTACCGTCCATGGAAATATCCCACTCTTTGATAAAGCAATCTGAGGAGGAAAAACTTGGACGGTGTGATATTAATGATAGTCCAAGTGGAAGTCCTGTTAATGAGCCTAGTGAAACTACTCCCGACCAACAGCCACGATCTCAACCTCAGTCTATGCCACAGCCACAGTTAAAAGAACAACCGGTCGATCAACAACAACGACTATCGCCTAAAAAACCTTCTCATGCTAAAAAGTTAGTTGACAAGTTTGCCACGTTTTCTCCGATGAGGAATAAAGGATCTGAAAGACGACTAATAGTCGAAACATATAGCAATTATACTAACGGAAAGAAAGAAGGTCTTCAGGTATTATATATTTTCTTTCAAAAAAAAAAATTTATTATAGTCCATTAGTTGATTAGCCTATTAGTATTATATTAGTTGTTATATATATATATTTTTTTTTAAAAAAAAAAAAATATTTTTTTTAATTAATTTATATATATATTTATTAACTAGTCTGACCAACGGCCTAAGTCGGCCGAACCAAAAAGTCTAAAAAAGAAAAAGCGTCCTATCAACATCACCGAAGGTGGGCGATTTTACATTTTCTGGTGACAATTGTAGTTTTATTTTATGCATTATACTACCTTCAATGTTATGAGTTATTATTCTAAAATTTTTTTTTTCTTTTTATCCATTTTTTTTTTTTTTTTTTTTTTTCTAAATATTTAGGAATGTCAAAAGCTGATATATTTGCCGCAAATGTAGCCAGTGCCGTTGATGCTGCTGATGGTATGTTTCATTTTTTTTATTCTTTTTAATTATATATTTATAATAATAATTCTTATATAACTAATTAATAATTTTAATTAATTTTATTATTTTAAATATAATAAAGCTGCTGATGATGAAGAGGAATATTATACTTACAGTACTAGCAATTCTCGTGCTCCCTCTATTAATAGTGTAAATGGTCTGATTCCACCAATCGTGCCGAATTTACCACAAGACAATAAAATTCCTCAACATTTTCCAATTCCATCCAGTTTTTACTCTACCTTTTCTTATCCCTATCGTACATATAACACTTTCCCACATCGTTCTCATTTTAATCCCGGATTTTATAATAATCCTACTACCACCTCAGATTCTTCAAATGATCAAAATTCTCAAAATCCTAATAATAATAATAATAAGCCAACGGGTGTAATGCGTTCTTCTTTACCTGATATGTCTCAATATGTAAAAGGTTTACCAAATTATGATCCTACTAATTATTTATATAATAATTGGTATGTTAATAATGAACGATTACCTTTATTTGCCAAATGGCGTCCTCCAAATTATGAAACTCGTCAGAGGTATTTATAAACTTTATACGTTTAATTTTGTACGCTTAAACTTGTATGTTTAAACTTACATGTCTAAATTTATATACTAATTAGACAATCGTGTACTCCAACGATGTCTACTCTGACAGTTATCATAATCTTTCTTATGGCTTCATCTTGGTTATTATATTTTGCTTCAACTTGTCCTTTATCGGATGTAAGCATCAAAGATATATCGAACGTTCTTGCTGCTGACAAGGAATTAATGTTCGATATTCAAGTAAAAGGCCGTAATTACGGCCTATGGGATGTGGTAATTCTTGATACTGACCTTGCTGTATTTGCTACTCCTGTGCGGAATTCTCCTGGTTCTATTCCGGGTGGTCCTGGAAGTCATTGGGATGATATTGAAGCTGTCTCTATATCTTTGGGAAATATATATTCCTTTGATGAACCTTTGTTATTTCCTTCAGGAATTAATCGTACTGGTGTTGCTAGTGCTCCTACTGGTCAAGTTAGATTGAAAAATCCTGGTGGCAAAAATGATAAAGAAGGTCAAGAAAAATGGTATACTTTATTCTCCTATAATTATATTATTAAATTTATATCATAAATTTATTATTATCTATAATTTTTTTTTATTTTTTTTACAATTTATTATCATTATCAAATTTTTTACTTAATTATTATTATTATTTTTTTTTATTAGGTCTTTTCTCTTACAACATCAATTTGACCTTACCGTTCGTGGGTCTCTTAAATACACTTTACCTTTCTCAAAAGATCATTCAACAATTGTATGTTTTGTTCAGAGAGTTGATGGTGGTGTTGATTCTCTGAACAGTAATGGTAGAAGTAGGGTACTTAAGAGTTTTGATGTCAATGCGATATCAGGTCCATGTGGTGAATGGGAAAAGGAACAAAAAAAGTAAAAAAAAAAATTACTATAGTTAATGTAAATGTTAGTTCTCTGTGTTATTTATAAATTGTTTTTTTTTTTTCATTTTCCTTTGCAAAGTTGTACAGCATTTTTTTTTTTCTTTACATTTTTTTTTTTTACCTTCTTTTTTTTTTTTTGTTTGTTTTTTTTTTTATTTTTTTTTGCAAGGGTATTTTTTTTTTTTTTAATAATTTTTTTTTGGTTATTAGACAATTTACAAATAAGATTTTTAAAGTATAGTAAAAAAAACTATTGGTATTTTTTAAAAAAACGAGTTTTATCCAATAAGATTTTTAAGTTGATAAATATAGATAAGATACAATAGATACACTAATTTTTTTTTTCCCTTTTTTTTTTTTTTTTTTTTTTTACGTAGAAAAAGTTATTAATTTACATAAATCTAGATTTTTAAATAAAGTTTTACTAAAATAAATTAAGATTTAAAAAAAGAGCCAATTAAATTTTAATATGCAGGATAAAATTTCATTAAAAGGTTACATTCTTTATTGAAAATAGTAAATTCGATCAAAATTTACTATATCAGTGTTCATAAAAAAACATCAATATATCGATACGTATAATATGTAATAACAAGTATTTTCATAAAGATTATGTACAGTATGTACGTATTTGGAATTTATTTATTATATTAATAAGAAATTATAAAATCACAATGATATATATATATCCGAATTATTAACTTTTACAAAGCAACCAAAGAATTTCACACATATAATTTGATAAGATTTAGTTATTTTTGTTGTCAATGACAACTTGAGGTTAAGGCTTCTCTTCTGGCGGTGGTTTTTGTTTTATCAAAAAAATTTTAATTAATAAAATAAAAAATAAATAAATACAAATAAAATAATTAAAATAAATATAGAAACTAACCCCAAGCAATCATCCTTCCCGAAGCATTTGCGCTAATGATTAGATTAATATTTGGGTGAAAGGCATTAACAGCTATCAATTGAAAACATCAGTTTCACAGTATCTCGGTAATATTTCAAAAACATCTATTGTACTATATTATTTCTTACCTGGTATAGCTGTAAGTCTGTCATCACACATACTCCAAATTAATTCACCCGTTACTCCAGAAAGTATATCAGCTGATCTTCTCATGTTTCCAATGATAAAGTGGGGATGCAAATTTGGGTTCGGATTCCAAGTTGCGCGAAACATTGTAACCCATCTTTAATATATAATAAATTTATATAAATAATACAGTATATGTGTATATACAAGTCACTCTCTCGTTATAGTAAACTCTCGATATAGGAATTTTTATGAATCACTTCACTATAATGAGAGTGACTTGTGTATGTATATATATATATATTTATATATAAGGAATTTAAACGAATATAAACTTGCCTTCCCGTTCTATGGTTATGAGGAATTTGAAGTCGTAATTTCAATTTACTTTCTTCATTAAAGTCAAACACTCTCACCATATCTTCAAAGCTGGATGTTGCAATTTGATTACCATTTGGACTCCAATAAGCGCTGGTAACTGAATTACTATACTTGATTTCTTGAATTTCGGTTGACGTTTCAGCGTTCAATTTACGAATATCCCAAAGACGCATCGATCTATCCAATGAAGATGTGACAAGATATTGAGGATGAACCTTATTAATCGAGATACATCCAATTTTATTGTCATGTAATTTATATTCCGTAAATGTTTCTTTCGATTCACGGATATCTTTTATCATAAATTGGCCATGATTGGTAGATAAATAAATTATTTGACCATTAGGATCCATATCCATACTGGACAAAAAGTCTTCATTCGGTGTTACAAAGGCTTCCGTAGATTTTGCTTGACTAAAATCAAATGAACGAACGGATCCATCGTATGAACACGTGTAGAGATAATTAGAATTTGTAGGCGAATACATTGTAGACGTTATAGTTTTTGAGTGAACTTGAAACTTATAAGTCCTCGGTTCATCTTCGTCATCCTCATATTCGATTTTTTCTTTAACATCCCAAAATCCAAGCCATCCGGCTTTATCGCCAGCGACAGCCAGCACTTTCTCTTTATCAGGATGAATAGCAATACAATAAATTCTCTCTGGTGTAACTTTAACGGACGACCATTCTTGCCTCAAGGCGAGTGATCTACAAGCAGATCGAACTGCTTTAAAACCATTCTCTCCTCCTGAAATACAACTATAGTCGATGCTTTTTGTTTTATCATTTTTATAACTTTCTCCCGCGTTAGATTTTGTCAAATTCGATAAAATATCAACAAAATAATTGGTATCATCAATAGATGTCGAATCTGATCGAATAGAATTTAAATCAAGATCACCCATCATTCTAACGCGTTTTTCTTTTTCTTTTCTTTCATATTTTTCTTCTTCTTCAGCTTTCCTTTTAGCTTCAACTCCATCAGGAGTGAAACCACGTAGACGTAAAGATTGACGTGTAGGTTGACTTGGTTTTTTAATTTCAACTTGTCTTTTTGGTTTTGGTTTAGGTTTCGGTTTAAATTGAACTTTTACAGAACGAGCAAGTTCAGGAATGTTTAGTTGCCTAAGAATTTCTTCATTACGACGAATATTTTCAAGTCGTTGTTTTTCACTTAAAGTATAACGAACATATTTTTCAGATCAAAATTTTTTTTTTTTTTAAAAAAAAAAAAAAAACGCGACGCGTATTATTTTTTATTAAAACTTTTTTTTTCGCTTACTATTCATTGAGTGTTGAACCTTCGTTTGTATTTTTTGTACTTTTCGAATTTTTTTTCTTCATATTTTTCAAAGTCACGTAATCAACGTTAATTATCTTTTCAAAATTTTCACATCGATATTTATTCAGAAAAAAAAGTTACTGATGCGATATGATAGATAGTAAAAAAATATGTAGATCATAAGAATCATGAGATCGTAGGAAAAAAAAAATTATATATAATAAAAAAAAATTTACGATTCTCAATTTATATCCTTAAAACGAATAAAAAAAAAAAAAAAGTATGGAGAAACTTGACAAAGCAAATTATTTCTATTTTATACCACCAGAAGGCAAGGTTTATAAATACAAATTTACGAAGCATATCTTAAAATGGAGTTTTTAGACTTACCTTTTTTGTTCCTGGAACGCTCAAGTTAATCAAAAAGAGTCACAGAGTTCAGTAGAATACATAGATATGCCCGAACTAGAAAGCTCTCCAATCCGAACTGAATGGCTGGATTCTAACAACAAAACTGAACTTCTAAATAAATATTATAAAAATTATGTCCAACCTTTTAAAGAAAAGAGTACGGAAATGGAATATTTTATCTCTAATGATCCTGGTAAATATGTTACTAGATGAAAAAAAAAAAAAAAATTACACGTCACAGAAATACTATCGGGAAATTATTGAAACATTTTATTGGGACATCCTCCAGTACGAAAACAAAGAATATTTCCAAGTGATCAACTTAGAAAAGTTATTGCAAATCAACGAATGTGGAACGTAAAATATCCTCGCGAAAGGTTTCCTCTCGATAATAACATATATGATCGATTTTTAGATACTTTTAGCAGAGGATCAATTACAGATGTAAGTTTTATTAAATACATATCAAGAAAAATTTTTTAATTTCAACAAAAAAAAAAAAAAAAAAAAAAATCAAATCAAATATGTAATAAGAAGAATTATATATATATATATATTATTTTTACCATAGTTTAATCCAGAAGATTACGGATTGGTACCATCAGATATTAGTACAATAAAATCTACTAGTACAAATGATCAAGAAATTCGAATATTACCTGGTAATATTTATTTATTTATTTATTATTTGTTTGTTTATTATATGTGTCATTTCGTTATATTAATTTCTTTTTTATTTTTATTTTTTTACGTTTACGTAACATTTATTTGCTTTTCAGAAACTACGGATCATCAATCGATAAATGGAAGTGAAAGGTCACACGAAAAGAAAAAGGTTAGTAGAAATTTCGGATAATTATAAGAATTTGTGAAAATATATGTTAAACAAGTGTTTATATATATATATATATTTTTATATAGAAGAAAAAACACAAGCATGATTCAGAGCATAAAGAAAAGAAACAAAAACATAAACGAGAAAAAGAACATAAAAGAGATAAAGATGGAGAACATAAAAAAAAGAAAAGAAAAAAGGTTCGTATTTATTTATTTAAAAATATTATTTGTTTTGATTTTTTTTTTTTTTTTCTTCCATTCTAGAAATTATCTACTGGTATGATTTTTTTTTTTCTTTTTTTTTTTGTTCACCATGTTACAAAAATCATTCAGGAAAAAGATGAACATCAAATGATTTTCTAGTCTTCTAGCCTATATTTCCTCTGAACAATTCCGAATCACAGCTAACTTGACTTTTTTTAGTCATCATTTATTGCTTATTTATGAGGTTTGCCTTTGAAAAAACTTCATTTTTTTTTTTTTAGTGATTTTAATTTACCACTATCCATTTTTTTTTTTTTTTTTTTTCTTCTTCAAATTGAATTTGGAAAGTGGGAAGTCCGTTATTGGTATGCTTGTGATTCAAATTAATATATATCTCTCTCTATCTTTTGTACATACACTTAATAATCTAATAAATATAGACTATAATATTGCAATCCATAGGAAAGATTGCAAATAATAATATTCTTTATTAATTTTCATGTTAGATGAAATTATGATGAAGGATTAAATTTAAGTACGATTATTAAAGATATTGAATTTTTAAAAATGAATTATCAGTTATAGCTTGTAACGTTTCTCTAGTGATTATACGAATACTGTATTTAGAGAGAGAGTAAAGTGAGAAGTGGTTTTAATTAATAAAAAAAAAACCTATAAAAATATCCTTACATACATATACGCCTACTTATACCGTATAATTTCATTTTACTGTCCTTGAAGAATTGTAAAAAATGGGCTCATATTCTCGGTCACAACGTATGTCACGTGAAAAGTTTAGGATAGTGAGCAGAGACGTGTAAAAATATCGATTTGATTTGGCAAAAATATCGATCGATTTGGTCAAAAATATCGATTCATATCGATATACATCGATCGACCAATCAGAATGCAGTATTTTGATAACGTGATCAGAACTTTTATTACGCTAATTTTTTTTTCTTTCATGAACTAAAGATTGTTTTATTAATCAAAACTTTATTTATAAAATTTTATAACACCTTTATATTTGGGATTGGTAGCCTTTTTCTTAAAATTTCCCAAAAAATTACTTCAACGTTATAGACATCAAATTTCTTATTACGTTTATATTTATGAAATGTATATATTTTCAAAAAAAAAGCTTTTATACGTAATCACTTATCGTTATCTGAAATTTTAAATTTTGGCCAGAATTATTATAATTCTGGCCACCAAATACAGTATAACGTTATACGACATAAAATTTTTAAAAAATATCGATTTGCCTATCGATTTATATATGATTATCGATATCGATATTTTTACACGTCCCTGATAGTGAGCCGACCCTTTGAAACCGAGCTCAAAGCTTATTTCAAATAATGTCAAAATATAGGAATATCTTTCGTTTGTTCAATTCCTGATTTGAGAGATCGTATAAAGCCAATAGTTTTTTAAGTTTGATTTACTAATTGGAGTTAATGGACATGAAATGTAAAATATAAATTTGCCTAATACTGTAATACACGTCAACCGATATTTGGATATAACCATAGTAAAATCGACATTTTTTTTCAAAAATTTAATACGTATAAAATGTCGGTATAACTCACTATATCGACATTTTGGATTTTTTTACTATATAACCAGATTAACATGTATTATGAAAAATTTTGGATCCTTAATAACGTTATGAAAACTTTTGGATAATAAACAAATTTTTATACTATATAACTTTTAAATTTTAAATTTTAATTTTTTTTTTTTTTTTCATAAGAATGCAGCTATTTAACCAAGGTAACCAGTAGCGGGTTGATTGTTTGTGGGGAGTAGAGTTACCTGCCATATTTAATTCCAACCATTATAACATATGGGTTGCAATATTACAACATATAGATTGCAATATTACAACCTGTTAAAAACAATTACGGCGGGCAACTCTAGTGGGGAGCTTACGTGAACAAATTATTACGGAACCGAGGTCTAATTGCTTACAATTTGAGAAGAGAAAAAGAAATAATTATCGTAGTTTAGAATGTACGTAGACTTAAGGGTATACTGTATTTGTAAGATGGAATTTAGTCGTTGTAGATAGAAAAATGTACTTAAGAATGTCTTTTTCGCCTTAATAAAATCTCTCAAACTTCGATGTCTTGAATATAAGAAAGATATTAGGAATCGAATTCTCAAAGTGATGAAATTGAAAGTTTATTGAATAACTGTTTTTTTATTATTTTTGTTCGCTTTTATTAATAACCTCCTTTTATATACGTTACGCTGCGCCTGATTAATAAATTGATACATTTAAACTCTTGAACTACGTAATTATTGCCCATAGTTTAGTTAACCCCGACTCAGATTAAATTAAATCAATCAAATCTCAGTTAATTACATAAACATTAATCATCTTATTACAATTACTTAAGATCCGTAAATTAACTAAATTAATTAAATAACTTAAACCCACGTGAGCAAACCCGACGAGAATCGATATAAAACGACCAAGACTCTATAAAATCCGTCTATATTAATAATCTAAGTTAACTATTGGAGTTAAACCCGGCACACATTTGTATAACGCTCTCCCAAAACAATAGTAACAGTATCTATTCTATTTTTCTCTAACTCTTCAATTCTGGTTTTAAGCATGGTATTCTATTTTAAAAATTGCCTTAGCTTCGCATTCTTAGCTTTAATTTCGATATTCTCAGGTCGTTCAAATTTACCAAGAAAATTTTTTAAAAATTCTCGATCACATATAACATCGATAAATAAATTCACGAAATACATATACAGCGAAATCGAGCCACCAGAGCTAGCTCTATTGATGTAAATAAGAATGATTGTAGGAATAAAATCAAACTTTTTTCAATTCCTACTTTTTTTTTTTATTTAATCGTGATGATACTCTTCTGCTCGGGGTGCATTACGCAGTGAGTGTGAAACGGCTTGTTCTAATGCTTGCATAAACAGACTTTGATTCACAATTAGCATATTCTATATTAAAGATTTCAACATGTTTTATCAGTTAATAGATCATTTACAAGAATATTCAGATATATATCCTTACCAGCAATCTGAATTCCTACTATACCGAATTGGTTTCTGGCCGGTCTACATTCCACATTAACATAATCCATACCATCCAGCATTTTTCGCATAGCTTTCGTGCATCATCGGTCTTTTTGGTATCATTGCAAACGATACGTGAGAATTCTACATATATAAGCTCATTAATTTTTTCTTTATACTTAATTAATGCCATAATATCTGGTTCTTATTTCTTTGAAACTTGCTCACTAAACTTTGTTTTTCTGCTCTGCAATAAAATTCAACTATAAATAATAAAAAATAGTATCAACAAGTATTTGAAAAATTTACTTACGTGCTCAAGCATATACACCCATTAGGCATATTTTCCAGACTAGCTCGAAGTAAGGGCATAATTATATCTGAAATATGTCCTCTTACTCAGCTCTTTGCGACTCGTACTATTTTTAAAAGCCGGATTGTTCTACACGTCTTCACTTAATGACAACAGAAATTTTCGAAAATTACTTATACTATAATCAACTATATGAAGAAATTATCAAACTACTTACAGTACACTAAGTATTCGTTCTGCTCTCTTTCCAAGTTTTGATACATTCTCCTTCCAAGATTTGTTGTGAACAACATTTCTAAGAAAACGTGTATTTCCTGACTTATTAAAATCATTTACAAACTTCTTACATCTTGAAGCTATTGACTCCAGCAAATCACATTTCATATTATTTCTGGGTTCCTTGATAGCGAATTAAAATATAATAAAATTTTTTGTATTACAATTTGTTAATTCCGTAAATTAATAAATTTTTACCAAGAAATAGCTTTTCTGTATTGGTTCTAATTTTTCTACAACAATTGATCTATCACTTAAAACAAAATTCGATTCTGGATCACTCCATAAAAGTCAATATATTTTACTAAATTATTTTTTAGAGCATCATAGAGAGATATATCAGAATCAGTCGGGTTCTAAACAAAAAGGACGCCCATAAGTTTTGAATTAAATAAAAATTTTACAAATTACTAAAAACTCAAACTGAGCTTAGACTTCATTGTGTTAAAGTTTTTCTCTATTTCTTTTTGTATCGTATCAGAAATGCTCTTCACATTCTAAAGAAAAAAAAAACTAGTTTGTACGATTTACCAAATAGACAAAATTATTAAAAAACTTATGAATTATATGATAGGGTACCGTATTCAAAACTTTCATCGCCCTTAAGCCTACGACGCTTTTGTAACCGATATCCATCTATAACAAATGAAAAAAAATTAGATTCACACGAATTATTATATTATATATGTGCACATGCATGATTGAGTTACAGGGGCGACTGTTCTCATTACACAAATTATGAAAATCTCTAAAGAAACGATAACCAATCAAAAT